CTTTGACTAGTCACTCTCTCCTTCTCTGTCAGTTGTTACTGCAGCTCCAGCAAGAGGCAGAACAGGCCTCCCCTCCAGGCACGCTGCCCCCACTCCACCCCCTTCTCAGGGTCACTGGGTACCGGGGGTGGCGGGGTGATTGTACATAATTACAAACATCCATGTATGTTCACATGGGAGAGTCATTAATTAAGGAAAAGAAGAGGTAAGGGAAAGTAAAGCAAACTGTCTGAGCCCCTCCTGTGTACCCGGCTTTTTAAAGAATCTCCCCACCAACCCTACCTCCACTAAAACAATGAGGAGAACAAGGTCTGGAAGGTTCCGAGCCTGCCCCCGAGCCGGCCCACCGGCTGATGCCGGAGCAGGTTTGGTGCTTCCCTGGAAGGCAGCGCCCTGAGCAAGCTGCACTGCAGGAGGGCCCTCACCCGTCCACCAGCTCATGACCACTGTTGATCTGTCCCCATCTCCAAATCTGTCACCTCTGAATTCTTCAACAGCATTCTCTTGGCAAGATGGAAAATGCCCAGAGAGCAGATTAAACATGTTCTGGTGGTGATGCCTGGGAGTGGGGAGCCCATCACCTGCAGTTTTTAAAGAAAGCAATTAAGAGAAAGAGAAAAACCAACAAGTTATATAAAGGGACCAAATTACCTTATAAATACAAATGGGTCACAAGTTTTTAAAAATGCGGAAGCTAGAAGGGCAGCTGTTAGAGATCCTCTGGTTCACATCTCTGTTTTCAGATGAGGTTAAGTGTTTTTCCTAAGCCAAAGTCGCACACTCTCTGCTTCCCTCAGACCTCGCTGCCCTCAGACACCTAACGTTCCTGACTCAGGAGTCCAGTCTTATGATGATTTGTTCAATATTCTGCTCAACTGTGTTTCTATCTGCATTTCTTAGTGTCTTACAGAAAAAGGAGAGAATAATGAGTAACAAGAAATGAAAGGAAACAAATAAACTGGAAAAGCAAGTAAGGAGATAGAGTGGTGTTTCAGTTGACCTAGGGTTTCAGCACGTCACTGTGCGTCACGTTTAGCACTGAATTTGTAATTTCTGTTGACCACAGGTCTTTAAAACATGCCCAGTTTTCCATTTTGTCATCGGCTCTGCCCTGAGTGAGATGCGATGGACACTGTAAGGTGAAGAAATTTGGGGATTTGGAGTAGAAGTGTCCTTTCATTAGTGACTGACCTAAGACTACCCAAAAGTAGATTAATTCTGTGAGTTCCAGTCCTGGCTCTGTCAGCTCTGGCTTTGTGGTCGTGGGTGAATTAGCCTCCACAGGCCTTCGTTCTCTCATCTGATGAATGGGTAATGATGTCCGCATTGCCGAGAGTTGTGGGGCTTGTGAGTGCCGTCCATTGTGAGCTCCGAGTGGTAGAGTTGTTCATCACCAGATTTCACTTGGGATGATATAATTGCAAGTCCTTTTAGAACGTTCATGCGTGTCGTTAGAAGCCAGCTGTCACCTTTGTTCTTCAGTGTACTGCTCACCTCTGGATTCACCTCTGTATCATTCTGGTATTTTACAGAGGGCAATGAGTGATGGGAAGCGAGTGGGTAGTTGCCTTGGGAGGCAGTAGAAATGGCAGAATGGCTGGGTGTAGCTCCTGAAAGCTTTGTCTTCCATTCTCTATGAATGAATCCTTACTCCCTGCTTAGGCCTTGTCAGACCACATCCCATAATTGTAGGGTGTGCAGGTTTCTAGCTGTCTGTTAAGAGTGATGGAAATGAAGACGATAGAGAAGAGAAAATCTTTGGCTAGTGGGTTCTTTTAACCAGATTTAGTATTAAATGTTATGCAGCTTCAAAGACTGTTTCAAAGAGTATTTGAGCTAGAAGAAAGTTTAGGGACTGTCAATTTCAAAACTTCATTTTACAAAGAAACTAAGGCCCCCAAAATGAAAGCAACTTGTCTGTTTTATATTGCATCATTATTGTTTCTGTGTCATTATTTATTAATCTCTACTTGATGCAGTACGGACTTGAAGCAGCTAATGAAGGTACATGTAGAATATAGAGTATCACAAAGTTAAAACTCAGTGAGGGCATCTCTGTGTGCATGGAGGGCACAGAGGAGGGGGGGAATAAGGGAAACGTGTCGCCTAGGAGGAAATTTTTGAAAAATTAGTGTCCACAATACATGATACTAGAGTTCTGTACATGTGGCGGTTCCTAGCAGCCAACAGAAAGGGCAGAGGTGACAGATCCACGGAGTTTGCATGTTAAAATGGACCACTGCTGAGGAGAAGCTAAGCTGGTTCTGATGGGGAAATGGAGAGACATTTTCCATGGGTTACCATAAATGTTATTAATATTCTTTTGATAAGCTACATTATTGCATTATATTTGCAGACCCAGAGCACTAGATACTACATCAGATGCCATATTTAGTTAAAAATGGAAGACTTCAAACCATACTACAGTAATGCCTCTATGAACAGCCAAAAAAAAAGTTACAGTGGAATATTTATGTCAGAAATCTCAGCCTTAAAGCTGGAGTTTATATCAAAGCCTAAGGTGATATTTCCTCATCAGAGAAAAGGGTTTATTGCATAAGTTATTAACGACTAAAGGTAATGTCAGATGTTCTCTAAAGCAATGTTTTACAAACTGCAGATCATAACTCTCAAGTAGATCATGAATCGATTTAAGAGATCATACCTGATGTGTTTTTTTAATGAAATGGAATAACAGAGTGGAGCCAATGGAGGCTGTCGGAGGAAGAGTGTGTATGAGTGTGTATTGGTGTTTATGCTGTATCACAGTGTAAAAGGTATTTCTTACTGGGATTGTGGTCCAAAAAGTTTGAAAGCCATTGTCATTAAGGCATAAAAGGACTACTGTGAAGCCTTAGGCAGACGGTTGACCTAGGCTCCGGGGAGTCAGGGGGAGTGGTAAGGAAGCTCCAAGGAAAGGTGCCCATTGGAGGCTTGGGCTAAGGCTGGGGAGGGCAAGAACCCAGCAAACACACATGCTCTGAAAGCAGCACTTTCAGGAGCCAGGGCTATCATGGAGATGGCGGGGGGAGCCCCGGGGGGGGGGTTGGGGGTACACTTGGGTGCATGTGTGAGATACATGGACAAGATCATGAAAGGAAGTCACCTTCCATTGTGCTTATTCTTACACCAACATGAGCCCTTCCCCAAATCAAGGCCAGGCCTTCAGCTGGGTGCCCTTCGGACCTGCTCTATCCCACACAGGAGCCACGAATCACCCGCCACAGAGCCCTTGGAACGTGGTTAGTCCCAAGTGAGACGTGCTGTGAATGTAAAAAACACCAAATTTAGAAGAATGTAAAAGCCTCATTAATAGTTTTTAATATGGCTTTATTGATTATATGTTGAAATTGTAGCATTTTGGACATATGGGTTAAATTAAATTAATTTTACCTATTTTATTTTCCTTTTTAATGTATTAAACATTTTTAAATTACATAAGTGGCTTGTACTTGTGGCTCGCATTTTATTTCTCTGGGACAGCATCGGCTTGGACTCTCCATAGGTTACCTCTGAAGTGCCTCTCACGATGACCCTAACCCCCTCTCTAGATCCTCCCACCTGTTTCTCAGTCTTTAACATTCCTGTAAGAAAGAAAGTAAATTTTTTCACTTAATGATAAAATTCAGATGCACAGTTTGAGTTAGTGCTTTGGTAGGAATAGGCTTTTTTCAGTTAAGGTTTGATTCTTCCTGGTTTGGAGTAAAGGGAATGGAAAGTGGGTTCCATATTTTCTAAGATGTGGGAGTTGGGATGGTGGCACAAAAATGGGCTAAAGCCATGGTCAGCAAACTGCCGCTCATGAGCCTCATGCGGCTCTTCGGCCCCTTGAGTGTGGCTCTTCCACAAAATGCCACGTGCAGACGCGCACGTACAGTGTGAAACTTCGTGGCCCAAGCACAGAAGTCAGTATTTTGTGGAAGAGCCACACTCAAGGGGCCAAAGAGCCGCATGAGGCTCGCGAGCCGCAGTTTGCCGGCCACTGGGCTAAAGCAACAGAATACATTTGTGCCTGCCATTAATTTCCCTACTGGGGGACAGCCCTGCTATAGGAGATTTCTGACTTTTGGGGAAAAAAGAAAACCTGATTTGAAATTATGCTTCGTTCCCTGGTAATCTGATAATTGCAGAATTTCTATAATTGCCTTTTTCTTTCTTTTTCTGAGCTAAATTCGACTCTCAATTTGGATTTCAAGATTTCTCCCCACTTAAATTTTTTACTATCAGGATCCTAACATTCAAAACTACATCCCAGAAGAACCCTGATGTAAAGTGCTGCGAGGAGTGTGTGAAGCTGACTGCTTGCTTCCCCCCATCTTAGGGCTTGTCCCCCTGCCGGTCACGCTGCCTTCCCTCCTCAGGTCTCAGTACAGACACTGCCCCCCACCCCACGAGGGTGATCTTGGCTCTCTGGTTTTCAAGGACTCCACACCTCAGACTCAAGAGTGGGGGTTGGGCAAAGGAGAAGTGTAAGACTTCTGCGGTTCTGGTTTTCAGAAGGAAACTAATTATAGGGCACAGTGATTAATGAAGTGTTTGATCCATTTTAGCTGTTAATGAGAATCAGTGTGGTTGCACAAACGAGGAAAAGTAATATTAGTTTTTCTTCTCTCTGTGCCCTCCCTGCTGTAGGAGTTGCTCAGAAACCTACCGCATGCCAGTGATGGAGTACAAAATGAACGAGGGGGTTTCATACGAGTTCAAGTTTCCCTTCCGAAACAACAACAAGTGGCAGAGGAACGCCAGCAAAGGGCCTCATGGGCCTCAGGTCCCCGCCCAGGTACAGAGCCCCATGACCTCGAGGCTGAATGCCGGGAAAGGAGACGGGAAGATGCCTCCTCCTGAGAGAGCCGCCAACATTCCACGCAGCATCTCCAGCGACGGGCGCCCCCTGGAGCGGCGGTGAGTGTGCCTTCGCAGGCTGGCTCCCGATCTCTGCCCCCATTGAAATAGCACCAGACTCATAAGCACTAGCTTTTAGGTCTTCCCATATTTTACTAGAAATCAAGAATCAAAACTGAGATGCATGCACCAGCAGCTTTCAAAGTGTGGTGGTAGCATTCCAAAGCCGTGGGGTAAACGAGGATCTATTCCCCGCATAGCACTCGGCTCCGTGTAATGTGCTTGTGCTCTGCTCTTTCATTTCCCTGTGGGGTCAACAGAAATCATTCTTGTACACCTAGTAGCCATGTGGCTTGGAACTCGGCAGACGCTTTGAGATGACATTGACTGTGACATCATCTCGGACAGTCTTTGGCGATAAGTGATTCAGTAGCAACAGAATGAAGGTTTTTGGTTGAGTATCTGTCACTGTGCTAATAATTGTGAGAAACGAAAACAGCCAGTACAGCACAAACATATTTCCCACTGCTCTGTAAGTTGGGGGGGGGGGGGGGCGGACAGTGGCTGTGTTAAAACTCAGTCCTGAGTAAAATAAGCAAAAAGAAGAGGGATCGGGGGACCCCAGAAAGTGAGAATCCAAGGTTTGTTGTTAAACACCTCACTGTAGATTCCCTCACAAATCATAACCAGTTGGCTCTTAACAAGGCCCCAGCACTTTTGTCTGGAATTCATTGTAAAATGCAGTGCTTTGAAATAGAATCTAGGCCAAAACTTAAACCAGATTAAGTACTTTTAAAATGTAAATAAAAATTGGCTCTAAAGTTGTAAATTGCACTATAAAATTTGTTAGTCCTACTTATCTGAGCTCCTGAAAAGGGCAGTTTCATTCAGTTACCTGCTCGTCATCTGCTAGAAGCAGCCAACTTCTTTCTGTCCGCCCACTGCCTTTTCCCCATCACTTCTGCTTGTCTTGAGCTCATCTCAGAGATCAGCTAGGGAGGGATCAGAAACCCTCAGTGGGAGAAGGCTGTGCTCCTGGCGCTGCGCCAGGCAGAAGGAAGGGCCCTGTGGGAGCCAACACGGTCCCTGGCTCATCTGAGCAGCAGGAACCAGGTTCTACAAGAACAGGGTGGCCAGGAGTGGCGTCCTAGTGATGCTGAGCCGTCATTGCTTCAAATTCAGAACAGAAAGCTGAAAGTTTCAAAAATCACACTGATGTCTTTTACCTTAGTCTGTCTTTTGAGCTTTAGCATAAAACGTTGTCCCTTCGGTACTTCAGAAATACTAGAACACTATGTATAAATAATTTAGTAAAAATCAGACAAACTAAAATTAGTTGTCTTTTCAGAATTCCTCATTTAATCCTGGAGGTTTATTTACAGAGCCTTGTTATTTATCTCAAAAGAGTCCTCTCCCAGAGTGGCTGCATTCCCATCTGGACTCCTCACTTTTCATTATTTTTGAGGAGGAAAAGCATCCAGGAGATCTCTGAATAAATTCTTTGTTCTGCAGTTGGCTCTCCAGGAGGTGTGTGTGCACTGGAATCCATGATTTGGCCCGAAATTTGAAAGATGAATCTAGGAAACCATTGTTTAGAGAAGGATGCTATTTTCTTTCTCTCCAGAACAATCATCGGCTTTTACACGTGAAATTGTTTTTTTGTGTGTATTATTTTCTTTGCACAAGATTCCATGTAATACAATAGCAGAACATATTTCAATTCCACGTTGAGTTTAATTTCTGCCACAGACACTAAAGATTGTTGCTGAACATACTGACTTCCAAAAGTGGAAATATTTTTTGTAGCTACTGATCGTCCTGTGATAGAGCAGCTTTCAGTGCTGGGCAATGCCTCACTTCCATTATTTTCCAGAGGGAGCCCGTTGAGTTCTGGAGGTTATGTCTTCGTGCACTGTGTCTGCCTTTCACCTTCACTCCACCCAGAGGAAAGCAGTCTTGGGGTGCTCACCGTGAAAGGCTGTGACTCTGATGTACGGATGACGTGGCAGAAGTGAGGCTGCCAGTGGTTTGGGGGGGAAATTTAACCTCCACTTCATCCCTCTCAGGCTTCTTAGTTTCAGGTATTCTTTAGACTTGACTCAGATTAAAGGTCTTATGATGGAGGATTGGGTGACTTGGAAAATTCCAGCCCTACATTTTCAGGATATCCAGGTTATTTGGCTCTTCTTTATTGTGAAGTATGTACAATTCAGATGGATATCCTTTTGTAAAAAAGAGTTCGATTTCCTATCCCTTCATTCCTAATTTTTATTAATACAATACTTATTTTTTTTAATTTTTAACTTCAAGTCATAAATAGAAGGTAATAGTTGAGGAACTCTTTTGCTGCTATTTCAGGAATATCCCCAGCATAGAATAGATTTGGGACATTCATCAGGAATACTTCCTGAGTCCTTCGTGAATCAACAGATTCATAAAGTCTACCTGGGACTATAATTTCTTCCATACAATATACTACAATATCGCTGAAATTTTTACGCATTTCTTATGTAGGCTTCCTGAGAACAGAACACCTTGCTGAGAGATGGAAGGGGCTGGTTGGGTGCTTATCCACTTGACTCTGCCCTTCATCCCAGCCCTGCCCTGGGCGCCGTTTCCATTTGTACCTGGGAATCTCTAAAGTGTGGTCCATTCAGGTGAATCACAACTAGAACGAATGACAAGGTCTGCCATAAACTGGATCTTGCCTTACGATAACAGTGTGAGCCTAGTGTCAGGACCAAAGTGTTGCCTTTGCAGTTTCAGTGCCCTGATTCTCTCCCAAGTTAGGCACGTTGTGTCTAACTGTAGAGAAACCAGCTGTGTGAGCTTAAGTTAGCAGCCATCTCCAGACAAACCTACTTCATTAACCATGACTGGGTTCAGCATGGCTCCTTTTACATGAAAACCTTCATTTACTGCCGGTGGAATTGGATGCAATATTCTAGACGTAAGGTCATTAGGGACAATTTTTTAAAACAATATTTGTGGAACAAGTTATCATTTTCCTTTAATACGAAGGTCAGCCTTAGCTGGTTTGATTCATGGATACAGTGTCAGCCTGCAGACCAAAGGGTCCCGGGTTGCATTCCGGTCAGGGGCATGTACCTTGGTTGCAGGCTCCTCCCCGGACTGGGCCCTGGTCAGGGCTCGTGCAGGAGGCAGCCAGTTGATGTGTTTCTCTCACGTCGATGTTTCTCTCTGTCTTTCCTCTCACTTTCTCCCTCCCTACAAATCAATGGAAAAATATCCTCAGGTGAGGATTAACAGCAACAACAAAAAGTAAATACTAAGGTCAGAATTTGTATGACATTGCAAAACGTGTTGGTGTTTGGAGTTTCTAACAATTGTTTCACCGAATTGTGTACTCTCTATACATTAAGATAAACTGATGCAATAGGAGCAGAATACGCGTTTGCCATATAAATAGAATAAAGTCTAATTCTATCTGGTTTAAATATATGAGGTTTATGCTCTGCAGGTGGTCTTTTGAGTATGGAATTTTCTAGTATTTGTGGGGATAGTATTTATCAACAGAATTAATTTTTGTTCAACAAAAATAGTCACTACAATGCAATCATTCTTTTGGCCTGAAATTTATCTGGAGTGTAAAGGTAGGACTGAAATAAAAATAGCTGGCTGAAGCACATCCAACTGTGCTGTTTATACATAATATTCAGGATAAAACCCTGATCTGTGTTAATGTGCTCTGAAAAGTTCAGCCCGGCTGGTGTGGTTCAGTGGTTGAGCATCGACCTATGAACCAGAAATCACAGTTTGATTCCCAGTCAGGGCACATGCCCAGCTTTCGGGCTCGATCCCCAGTGTGGGGGGTGCAGGAGGCAGTTGATCAATGATTCTCTCTCATCATTGATGTTTCTGTTTCTCTCTCCCTATCCTTTCCTCTCTGAAATCAATAAAAATATATTTTTAAAAAAAGAAAAATAGAGAAAAGTTCACCTGTTTAAGGGGTTTTGTATAGACAACAGGCATTTTAGCATATAAAAATGTTCCTTTCTCTGTTTTTAGATGAAGTATTACCAGCCTTTATATAAGTACTTGGTGTTGGATCTTACTGAACTAGTGGCACTTTTGAGTTTTCCCAGCATGCCTTCCTGTCCCCTTTCCCCACTTCATTTAGCTCTAAGTGTGGGGGTGGAGAGTGCTTCTTCATGTACACAGAGTTACAGAAGGCTGCACTGGCAGCCCAGCCCACCCTCCTCAGCAGACAATAGCAGCATGCAGGGCCAGAAGGGTATGCCCGTGAATATTGTTGAAACAGGCTTAGAGTTCTCCTCTCAGAGAGCTGATTAGTTGTGTGCTCATCCAATCTGTATTTTTAAGAAAATGCTTTCTAAATTTATTTCATACAGGTTCTGTGCTAATTTTCACTGTCATTTTCTACTTTGAGACAAAGCAAGCACCTGTGAAATTCTTCCTCTTCCTTTATTTAGACTACTAGAGGCCGGTGCAGGAAATTCGTGCACAAAATTTGCACATGGGTGTGGTCCCTAGGCCTGGCCGGCGACCGAAACGCGAGTATCTGGTGTGGAAAGGCAGGTCCCAGCTGACCTCTAGGCCCTGGGCAGCACCTGGGCCCCTGTGCCTGAGTCACGCGCGGGGGGCGCTCGAGTCCCCACATAGAGATGAGGCGGATGCAGCGTGAGCCTCCTAGGGGCACCACACGGAAGCGGGTAGGCAGCGTGCTCTCCCGGCCGGCCTCGCAGACCAGCTCTTGCACAAATCCACAGGGAGCCCGACCAGCCCCTGTGGTCCCAGCAGCTGTGGCCCAGCTCTCCAGAAAGTGGCCACGTGGGGGAGGGTATAGAGGGAGTGAGAGCGAGCTTAGTGGATACCCCACATTCTCACTGCACCTTCGTCCCCATCACCCCTTCCCCCAGGTAGTCGCTTCCTGGTGGTCAGCGCACGTCCTGGTTGAACTCCAGGTCAAACAACCACCTGAGGGGACAATTTGCATAGTAGGCTTTTATTATATAGGATTAGCTGAGGTTAGAAGTTTCAGGACTTATACTTTCCAAATGCCATCCCCCTGGATCAGC